CAGCACCCCCAGTGCCGTGTCACAGCTGTGGTGCTGGGGGGACGGGGCAAGCCCTAGTGCGCTGTGGGGAGCACAGGGAAGCCGCAGAGCAGCGCTGGCGGCAGCTGCACTGTCACCCTGTTTTGCCCAGGCCAATTCAGGTCCCGAATAGTGGCAGCTCCTTGCTGGCAGCTTCATTTCCAGGAGAAAGGCCACACGTGACTCAGCTCCAATCTCGCCAGGTCACGCAGTTTGCCTGGGGCCCCGTTGCCCAGCCTAGGGTCCGGACATCGCCAAACCTGTCCTCACCTGACCCTGGCCACTGCTGCTGCTGGACTGGAGTGGGGGTCCAGTCCCTGTGAGCGGGTGGTGGCCCTGCGCTAGTCACGAGTGTCCATCTGGCGTGGGCTGACAGTAGCGTGTGTCTTGGGAAGACGTGAATGCTGGGGTCAGCTCGGCATCCGGCTCTGAGTTGGCACTGGTTTTTCCAGGTGGCACAGGCACCCAGTGTCTGCTTTCAGGATGCGGCTCGGTGCTGATCTGGAAACTGCCGCCGTGGGCCCTCCGTTGGCCTGTCTGGCCTGGAGACCCACCTGCTCTCTATGGGTTTCCCGAGGGCACAGGGCAAGGGCGGGTCTGTGGGCTCTGGTTTGCCCTGTCCTCCGGAGGCTGTCGGTGGGTCGGCTTTGGCCCAGTTGGGGCTGGACCCGACCCTGGCTGTGGGAAGGGCCACCTCAGGCTGGAGGGGCCACTCGGCCTCGTGCATCTCCACAGTGGCCTGCGAGATGAGGGGCATTGGCCAGGCTGCACCCAGTGTCAGCAGGAAGAGTGTCCTGAAGGATTCTGACACCTTAAAAAAGGAGCTGAAGAAAGACAGGCCAGGAAGGGAGCTGCTGCCTGTTCTCAGACCGTGTTCTCAGACCGGCTCGAGAAGCTGCCCCAGACTCGGTGTCTTTATAGGAGACTTTACAACCCAGCCCGGCCCGCTGAGCACAGGGCGCTTGCAGACATTCGCACTCGGGGCCTGGCAGTAGGACGCCAGTTTGACCTTATCAGGAATCTGGACGGGATTAGAGGAGAATCTTTATTACGTGCGGGAGAACCAGATGCTAAACCTCTAATTGACCGCCCTGTCTTCTCCCAAGATGACTGCCAAAAGCAGTGAGAAGTGTCACGCCCTTGGAGACACACCCTCCAAAACCCCGCACTCTGTGGGTCCATGACAGAAGAGCCTCAGAGAAAGGCACCCCCTGGTTGGCCCCACTCCCCTTTCTTGCCAGATTCTTGGGGGAGCTCTGCTTTCAGAGCATTTTCAAGCCATTCTGAGCTGGAGGGAAATCGAGCCCTTGTCTGTGGGAGCTCCAGGCCCAGAGATGGCCTAGTCACCCCGGAACTGGTCCCTAGATCTGGGGGCTCCTGACTTGACCATCTGAGAACGACAGCTGCAGAAACAGCGCTGTCTGTGGGTGCCGGATGGGGAGAGGGGGCAGGGCCCGACCCCGACACGCGCCTCAGCCGTGGCCGTTCTGGCCTGGAGCATCTTCTCCTGTCCATGGAGTGGTCGACAGGATGAAGCCTGTGGAAAGGTGAAGTTTCGCTTTTGGGTCTTGCAGTTAAGGCCCCTTCCCAGCGCTCTGCTGTTCAGGAGGCTGCTGTGCTCTCGGCTCCTGGTGCCATCCCACCCGTGGACCAGGCTCGTCTGCGTCGCTGTGTTTGGACAGCGAATCCCAGGACCCAGGTTGTCTTCGTGAGCAGCAAGGTTGTAGATGTGCCGTTTCTGTGGCCGTGTCTGAGGCCGCCGGAGGGGACACAGTCCTCAAGCTCCTGGAACCCTGACTGCGCTTCTCTGAGGAAGGGTGGGCGGCGTGGGCGTGCGGTGCCGGCCAGGCTCCTGGCCTTCAGGACAGTGACAGAGCCGGGCGGCCCCTCCAGGGCCTGCCCCAGGGCCTCTGAGCCTCCTGTCCTGGGAGGTCCCTAACGTGGAAGTCTAGTCTGATAAACGCAGTGCGCGACGAGGTCTTCAGAGTTGTTAAGGGGCCTCGGTCTCCAGCAGAAAGGCTCAGCCTCCCAGTTGGGAGCCACCTTGCTCTGCCCCTGAGGCCACTGGGCTGGCCAGAGCTGGCCGGCGGACGCCTTTGCCGGCTGCTCCTGACTCCAGTCTTGCCTCCGAAGTGCTCACCCCGCCACTAGTCTCCTGACGCTCGCTGTCCACAGTTCACAGCAGCCCTTTTAATGAAAATATGGGGAGGCGGTAGGGGAGCCACAGAAAATATGGGGGGGGGGAGGCCGGCCACAGAAGGAGCTGTCTGAACAGGGCACTAGTGATAATACTGAGAGAGAAGTCCTAGCTCTTGGTTTTAAAATTAAAGTTCTCTGGCAATGCTGAGGGTCCGCTCCATGTGCACCTTTTCCAGACCAGCAGCCTCGGCAGTGGGGGCTTTGCCTGGGCAGGCATCCTCTTCCCATCTCTTCCTGGGGCCCTGGTGCCCTGCCGCGGCGTCCCAGCAACAGCCAGGCGGCCACTGTGCGGGGTCCGCAGCAGGCACTTGGCCGGCGGGTTGTCGCGCGCAGCTGGCAGTTCCAGCGCCCGGTGCTTGGTTGTGCTGAGAGGAGCTGGGCCGGGCAGCATCCTGAGCGGGGGAGCGGCGCCTGGTGGCGACCATCGCCCTTCCGGGGTGCGCTTGCCGGGGAGCCCTGTCAGTGTGAGGGTTCACGGACACCTCACGTTTTGATTGAGAGGGGTGACGCCGAATCCACAGACAACCTCTACCCGGTTCCCCCGGGGTGTGGCGCGCGGAAAAGAAAGGCTTTTTAATTAAAGTAATCCTCTAGCCCCCACCCCTGCACCTCTGGCCTGCACCCCAGTCCTTGTAAGCATCAATAAACATTTTTTAAATAAAATTAATTCGTTTAATTAACCTGAACTCAGAAGCAAGTGTAAATATTTGCAAGCGGCTGAGGGCGGTGTTTCATTGTTGCACTCAATTTGTTACCATGTTTTAAGCATGAAATTACTGAAATAGGCAAAGGAGGTTTTAAAAAGGTAAAGACGGCAATGGTGAGGCTGCAGTCACGGCATGTTCATAAGCTGAACAACCAGTGTAGTAACGCCTCAGTTGTCTGCAACCATAGAAAGTGGACCGTTTTCCAGAAGTTGAGGGTATCTTGTGTTTTACAAGAATTTTGGAGGGAAAACTTATGAAAAAAGGCTCTGACCCTCCTTGACTGGAGCCCGTGGTGGCCACTGGCCTTCCTCAGCACCAGCCTGCGCGCCCCAGGGGCCTGACTACTGCCCCCGGGCCCTTGCTCAAGCGTCGTGCACTTCGTGCCCTGCCGTGGCCAGTGCTGTGGCCCTGGACACGCTGGTCCACTCCTTGTCTGTGCCCTCGACTCCCATGGCGACGGCGCCTGGTCAAGGCCCCAGGCCCTGGTGGCACGTGCCCTCGGGGCTCGGCGGCCACCGCCCAGGTAACGCAGTGCTCCAGCGGCCTGGAGCTGAGGCCTGCCGACTGGAAGGCGCGCGGAGCCGAGGGACCGTGGGTTGAAGTCATGGCGGTAGTTCAGAAAACGAGCGCTTTTCATGAAGGCTGGATGTGGAGACGTTGCGAGGCCATTTGTTGCTGCTTTATTCGGGGGGGGGGGGGGGGGGGGGGGGGGGGGGGGGAGACAGTCCTGTGCCCTGAGTCAGCTTCCAGCGCAGACATGAGCCTCCGGGGTCTGGCGTCCCCGGCCTGGGCTCCCACAGCGCCGCCGTCCCCTCAGGCCAGAGGGCGGTGGCAGTGCCGGAGCCTCGGTGAGGCTGGATATCAGCGCGGCCTCGGAGCCTCAGAGTCCGGACAGGACGGTGGTGAGACGGCTGAAAGCAGCCAGAGGCGCTGACTTGTGTGACAGGGCTGCTCCTGCTGCTGGCGCGGAGCGCTCCGACCGCGAAGCCTGACGGTGTCGGCCAACCGAGGCGGAGGGGGCGGGCAGCAGGCGTGGGCAGCACCAGGAGGCACCGTGCGTCAGGTCAGATGCCAAAGAGCTTTCGTCCGAGTGATGTCAGCCCCTGATAGCAGCGGCATTTGAATATGAACCAGGAAAAAATTTAATTTGTACTTATTGATTCATCCCCAATAACTTGTTGCATGTTGGCAGGAATAGCATTTTCGGGAAAATAGCCATGTTTTCTAAAACAAAAGAAATTCACTAAGAATAATGTGGTTTTTGTGGTTTTGCAAATTCTTCGGTATTTGACTTCCCAGGAAGAGCTGGGTCCTGCCGCGCTCCTGCAGGCTCAGGCCGGCGGGCCGGGCAGCCTCCGGCGCTGCACAACGCCCCTTGCTGTCCGCCAGGCTCAGCCGGCGCTGCCCGGGGGGACTGCGCGGGGCCCGGCTCTTTGGGTGCTCTCGGTGCCCCCCACTGCTGCACACCAAGCATGCGGGTCTCAGCCGCAGGTCAGGCACGCGTGCCCCAAGTCCTGCTCCTTGCTGTCCTCGCTGACCCCCTGCTGGATGGCCAGTGCCCACATTGCCCTGTGTCCTGGGAAGCCCCCACACCTCGGCCCAGCTGGGCCCCTGCTCTGTTTGTGTGGGGTGGCCAGCCCACACTGGGTCAGGTGCGCGCTGGGCCTTCGGTCGTAGGCCACCTGCTGACTGCCCAGGTGAGGAATGATGGCGCTTTGGGGCCGGGGAGCGTGACGGCGGGGGGGGGGGCCTACTGAGGTGGGTCTGCTCTGTGTAGGTGGGCAGCAGGCCGCGCTGGGGCTGTGCTCTGTGTGTGCCAACCCCCGCCACCACCCGCCCCCCGAAGCCCTCTGCGGGAGCACCCACGCCCAGGTGCTGTCCCGCATGGCCTGAGCCCGTCTGCTGAGTGACGGGTTCGCAGGGTCTCCGACTGCACCCGCTGTGGCTCAGAGGGCAGCTGTGGCCGGGCTGTGCGCACCGCTGCCCCCGATTTCTGTTAGTGCAAAGGCCTCGAGTCTCATGGTCACTCCAGGGCTGGCCTCTCAGGATGAGTGACCTCTGCTCTCTGCTTTTCAGATGTTCCTCCTGCTGATCAAGAGAAGCTTTTCATCCAGAAGCTGCGTCAGTGCTGCGTCCTCTTCGACTTCGTCTCCGACCCACTGAGCGACCTGAAGTGGAAGGAAGTGAAGCGCGCGGCCCTGAGCGAGATGGTGGAGTACATCACCCACAACCGCAATGTGGTCACGGAGCCCGTCTACCCCGAGGTGGTGCACATGGTGAGCGCGGGCCGCGTGCCGGCCCCAGCGCCCTGCGGCCTGGGGCTTGCTGTGCTTGCTGTCTGTCCCCTAACATTGAACGCCGCACACGTAGCACGTATGTAACGGAGACGTGGCCCCCGTCGCGCGTGCAGGGAGCTTCTGGCGATGGGGCGGTGCTGTCCTCCGTGGCACCCAGGTCCCGCCCCGTCCCGCCGTGACCCCGCCCCAGGCGCCAGAAGCCCCTCGCCAGGCTTGCTCGCCGCTCCATACAGAAACGGTCCTCTGCGCCCTGAGCGCTCCCGGCCGCCGGGGCTGGTACCGAGCCCGGCTCCGCTGCCCTGCTCCTCCCGTTCCCGGTCTCCCAGAGCTGCGCTTCAGAACCTGCCGTGTGTGTGACTCAGGGCCGCTGTGACCGCCGAGCTCCGGTCAGCGCCTCATGCTCCTGGACCGCTGCCGACTCTCCAAGCTTAGCTAGCAGCGTGGCGCCAGTGGGCGTGGGCCCGGCGGCTGACAGGGCTGCTTCCAGCTCGCCAGCCCCAGAGCTTGCGGGCAGCGCCCGCCTATCTCAGTCCTTTCCCAGCCCATGTCCATGCTCCCGGGTCTTCTTTCTGTGCTGCAGGCTAAGGGTGTGACTTAACTTCCTTCTAAAATAGCTGAAAAGATCATTTCTGCTATGTCGTATACTGCATGCTGTTTTCCCCATTTCCTATTTTTATTTTCAAGCCGTGTGCGTCAGCACGGCCCGCTGTGCTCCCCGTGGAGATGTGCTGTGTGTCAGCACTGTCCCTCAGACGCTCGGGTGGCCGGCCGCCCCGAGCCTGCTGCCTAGCCCGGAGGCCGGTGCGGGCCGCGGGGCCGCGGGGGTCGGGCCGGGTCCGTGTGCCGGGGTTCTGGACTCGGCTCTTGTTTGCTTCTCGCAGTAGCAGTGTGCGGCCAGGCCCACGGGACACGGAGAGCCCCCGGGCCCCTTCTGGCCAGGCCTTGCCCCCCTCTCCCAACACGCTGTCGCTAGCTGACCCCTGCCCTGCTGTTTCTGTCCAGAGCGTCAGCCGGCTAGCACGAACAGGCGCCAGCGGGCCCTGCCCTCCCGAGGCTTCCCTCTTGGGGCCTGTGCGCCCGCCAGGGCTGCAGCGCTTCAGCAGATGGAGGCCACGAGGCCGGGGCCGGGGAGCAGACTGCAGGCAGGGGCACAGCTTCTCGGGGCCCGAGTTTCTGCTGTGCTGGGGGGTGGGGGGTGGGGAGGACGTGTGGATTTGGGTTCTCTCTGCAGCTGCTGTGTTGCCAGGTCAAACGGCGTTGCCAGAGGGAATGACGGGCGGGGACGCCTTGGAGTGGTTCTGACCTCTCAGTGGCAGGGGTGGGGTACGGAACTGGACCCCAGTAGGAGGCCTCAGTCCCAGGACGTGCCTTGGGGCCGTGTGGTTCCACTCAGGTGCAGCTCTGTGCCGGGATCCCCGGGGTGCCGGCACCCCGGCCGCCGCGTGTTACTTTCTCGCAGCGCTCTTTAAATTCGAGCGTCTCCGGGCCGAGCGGCCCCAGCCCTGAGACGGTGCTGCTGGCGCCTCCCTACTGTGTGGCCGCGGCCAGGCTGGGCGCTCGTGGGCCTCACCGGCTGTGTGCAGGTGTAAGTCACGCTGAGGCACCAGCCCGCGCACCGCGGACAGTGCCGTCGAGCATGCTCTCAGGCCCAGGCCTCACCGCCACATAGCACAAGAGCCATGTCAGTGCCCCAGAAGGAAGCCCAGTGGCCACACCCACAGCGGCTGCTGCCCGCCCGGCCCACTCTGCCTCCCCTCCCGCCCGCCCTGGCCCCGCAGACTCGCGGCGTGCATCATTCGGACCGCAGCATGCGCCGCGTCCTCCACACGTCGGCACTTTCACTGCCCAGAGTCCCTCACAGCCCCGACGTCGCGCTGTCCTCGGGTGGGCACGGGCCGCCTGCCCGGCAGTTGAAGCTCATGCCAGCACGCACAGCACCTGTGTGCGCACGTATTTTCGCTTCTCTTGAGTGTCTAGGAGTGAAGCGCTGGGTCACCAGCCAGCTCTGCCTCGAGGATTGGGAGGCCTCCAATTGGCTTCAGGAAGCAGCTTGCCCCAGAGCAAGCGGGTCCGGCTCCGCGCTGGCCCTTGCACCCCTCTGTGGCACCGCCTCCGCTGGACTGAAGGTGCCTGGTGCCCCCAGGCAGCCCGCCCGCCCCGGCCTGGCGCAGCCTTGCCCACAGCCCACGGCTCGGTGTGACGGGGCCTGGCAGCCTCCTGGCCCTCTCTCAGGTCAAAGCAGCCGTGGTTCAGCGGACAAGGACGCAAGGGAGCATCCCCAGTGGGGCAGCTCGGCCTCCTGAGCTGCGTAAGCGCCATCATCCCTTCATTTCCACCACATTTTAAATGTAACCAGACATCTGCCTTTTCCGCCAAGGCTGCCTAGACTCGGGTGGCCGGTAGCCTGACTCCCAGACGCAGCCTGTGAGCGTGGAACCCGGGACTCTCCGAGTGGGCCCGGCTTGAAGGCAAGACGGGCTGGTTAGTCAGAGGGCCCTTCGCAAGCATTTCCTCAGTCAGACAAAATGAGAACGTCGTGTTAAGGAAAATAAGCGACGGCCACCGGGGAGCTGGCAGCGGCCCTGCCCGGGCAGCAGCGAGTGGGGGTGGGTGGGGGCGCAGGCCTGCTGGGGTCCAGGCTTCTGGGGCGCGGCACGCAGACTGCGTTCTCGCTGGGTGCGTCGTTCTGGGAAGGGGCCTCACGTAGTGTGAGTTATTATGAATCAGTACTGCTGCTAAAGTCAGCTATTTTTGATAAATGTCCATTGCTAAAATATAATGGGCTCAATAATGTAATAATTCTAATCTCTAATTTAATTTTGATGTAGTCAGCGTAAGTAGATGGTAACTCTCACAAATAAAAGCTCTTGAAGGTCCTCAGTCATTTTTAGATGTTCATGGGGTCCCGTGACCAGAAAACTTGAGGGCTGCTTCCCCAGAGGCTGCGGGAGGCCCGGCCTGGGGCCTCCGTCCTCGCCCACCCTGCCCAGTTCTTAACGTGCAGAGGGTTGAGAGTAACCGCTCGACACGACCTCCCTGCGCTGGCCCGAGGCCCCCGTGGGGACCTGCGACGCCCCATGTCTGTGGGGCGGGCCTTCACTGTGGGGTGCACTTGGGGAGAGGCGCTGGTGGCCAAACGACCTCACATCTGTGAGCGGTGGCTGGGCGGGCTGGTGGCGAGAGGGACGCGTCGGCTGGCAAGGGGCTTACCCTGGCGTGGCTGGGGTGCAGCTTTTTCCTGGTCACACTCTGTTTTTTGTCATCACAAAAAGTTTTTAGTGGTCACATACCATATTTGTCATAAAAAGACAAGCTGTCTGCACACAGTGGCCTCACAGGCCTGTGTGCTGACCCCTTTGCCGTGAGCTGCTAGCTGGGCACTCGCGAGGCTTTGGTCAAGCCAGTGTCCTCTGGTGAGGCCTGAGGGGCTTTTCTTGGGCCCATGGGGACAGTCTCCCCCAGAGCTGGGGTCCGTGCCCTTGCTTCACGGGACGGTGACTTTGGGCCCTGCCCTGTCCTCATATTTACGGGGGAGTATGCTGGACAGTGTCGCTCTGCAGCCAGGGCGGTCTGCAGGAGGGAGGGAAGGGCTGCTTTGAGCGTCAGTAGGTGTACGTGAGCAGGGAGCCCCGAGTGGTCTGCACGCTTGCCTCAGGCGATGCGTTAGACAGGCCTCCCCTCTCCGGCGCAGCCCTGAGCTGCTGGACAGGCCTGGACATGGGCCTTGGGCCGTGCGGAGGGCGGTTCTCGGGGAGCCCCCTGTAGAGCCGTCCTTGTGGTTGGGGAGCGCGCCCCTTTGTCTCGGATGCTTTTAGGTTGTTTGTGACAGGAGGGGTTTATGACAGGCGTCCGCAGAGGAAAGGAGTTAAGTCTTCCTCCGCGTGTGTGTTTCTCCAGAAGGCCCCTGAGAAGCTGGGTGGTGGACTGTGACGCTCCTCTGCCTAGACGAGCGCTTCAAATACAGCTGCTGGTCAGCTGCTGGTCAGCCACACCCAGCAGTGCTGGTCTGTCTTGTTCTGACTCCTAAGCTAGCAGGTTTTTCCATGCTGAGGACACAGTGGGGAAGTCACTGTGAAGGGAACAGCTTTGAGAGAGAGAGGTTGGGAAGTGACTTCTGAAGAGCTTTCCCCTTTGTTTTGAGTTTTGAGTTAAATGAATTCGCCCATTCTCAGGTCTCTGCGACAGACCGCCGTAC